AATAATTGCGTTGATTGTTTGTATTTAATATGCACAGGAAGAAGAAGAAGAAGAATATTATTTATATTGCGCCTTTCCAGAAGCTCAAGGTCGCTTTACATTATACATACAATACATTTAGACACCCACATATTTATTGCAGTCACATAGGATACATATAATCACATTATCCAAAACGCATCTTAAAAAGATATGTTTTTAACTGGGTCTTGAAAGTAGCCACAGATGAGGTATTCTGTAGTGTAAGATTCCATATTTGAGGAGCATTAGTACTGAAATACCTTCCCCCTACAGTGGACAACCGGAAACAAGGGATAGAAAATAAACCAAGATCAGCTGATCTGAGAGACCGTGTAGGATGGTAAGGGTGGAGTAGGTCAGACAAATACTGTAGAGCAAGACCATTTAATGCTTTGAACGTTAGCAATACCTTAAAGTGGATACGTGATGACACAGGTAGCCAGTAAAGTTCGTGAAGTAGAGGAGTAATGTGAGATAAATGCCTAGTAGAGATGAAAACTCTAGCTGCGGAGTTTTGAACGTACTGTAATCTTCAATTTGTTTTTTAGGAAGACCAAGAAATAAGGCATTGCAATAGAAAAAAAGTTTCAGTGGACCTCTAGCGATCTCTGCTCTCATGACAGGGGCATTGCCACCGACCATAATGAAGCGGACTCCCTTGAAGCGGGGAGGAGACCGTTCGAACTGAATCGTATAGCCGAGTCGGATGGTTCGGGCGACCCAGCGGGACAGGTTGGGAAGCTTTAGCCAGGCTCCCAATAACTGTATCAGCGGGGTCATGCAAACCACAGATGTCCACTCGGTGGTGCAGCGAGGCGGAATGACCGGCCCAGACATGGGTGGCATAGCGGCCCGATGGGAGGGCGAGGTCATTAGCTGCGTCCTGACTGAGGAGGCCAGGGAAGGACCAGCGTTCCACAGGACAGGGGTCTGGCGACAGAGGGGGTCGAGAGTGGCGAGACCCGTGGGCGGTGCACACTGTCATCCAAGAACTCTGTGACAGAGGGGGACGAGAGTGGCAAGGCCCTTGGGTGGCATACACTGTCATCCGAAAATTCTGTGTGCTCAGAGATGGATTTGTCAGTTCTTTCTATAAATACATTAGGGTGCTGCCCACCTGGGGTTGAGCAGCGGGGAGTGGATAACAAGATTCTCCCCCGGCCCTCCACCGGGGAAATGAGTGGCCCTGCTACCATCACCTGATAATAACTAATGACCATCTCTGAGCAGCCCATCTCAGGAGCCCTGCTTGTCCTGGAGATTAGCGGGGCGTAGGGCTGGAGAGGGCTGTGGCTACTTCCTGCGGCTTCATCCACGACGAGGCCCACGTGAAGGCCCAGGGAGTGTGCGGTCACTTTCGTTGCCCGGAAAGCAAGGTCAGTGGTGGGACGCAGCTCATCCTGGGTCAGTTCTCCCCTTGTGTATGTCCTTGAACATCTGGGCCTGGTAGACCTGCAGAATGGCCATGGCATGCATAGAGGTGGCTGCCTGCCCCACAGCTCTATAGGACTTCGCCACAAGAGTGGACGAAAACCTACAGGCTTGGGTCACCAATGGAAGAAGCACTCTGCTAACACAGTTGCATCGCAACAGAGTGTTCCACCATGGGGACCCCAGTGTACCCTTTGGCAGTGACCTGATTGAGGGGAGGAAAGGCGGAGGAACACAGAACCCCGGAATATCATCCGGACGGCTCTCGGGTTGCGACACTGGTGAGGGGGATGTGGCCTGAGGACGAATCGTTGGTTGGTTGTGCCACACCATCACCCTCAGGTCACCCTGGCCACCAGCCAAAGTACCAGCTCCCATGGGAACAGTAGATCGGTGTGGATGAGGATACTCTCCCTTTTGTAAGATGATTGAGCCTCGACTGAAGAGTCACGATGGCCATGTTTCCGCAATGAAAATATGAGTCATCCACAAGGGCTGTTTTAGCGTGCTCAAAGCCCAAAAACACAGAGCAACAAATGTGCCCATCAGAGTCGGATAGAAGTCGACCATAACCGTAAATGCATGGCCGATGCATCTTTAAAAGATGTGCCACACACTGCTTTTTTAGAGAGGATAGAGTGTTGAAGCGACCAGGGAGAAACACAAACACTTGCAGATCACTGCACAGATCCCAGGGAATGTGCACTCGCTGGGAATCGCTTTCACACCAACACCTGGAAAGAATCTCGTCTTGAAGAAGAAGAAGATTTCAGAATGGCTTAGGGAGTAAAGCATACACTTGGCTCCGAAGCGAATACATATCTGCATATTGCCGGTATTCTCCTTAGATGCCCACAAGGTGGGGCAGAGTTGCGGCATGCAAATTCTGCCGACCCATGGCATTTCTTTGCCATTGGCTCGTTTTGTAAGACTCGAAGTTCACAGGCTTTATAAGCGAAACCCCATTCGTCGTCATCCGATGTGAGTTACAACGAAAGGGAACCAGGATAACACTCAGAGTTGCAGTGCAACACTAAAGAAGACTGCAATGAGAGACTGAATAAACAAGGCTTGTATAGGCAGAGTTAACAAGGGTAATGGGAAAGGGGTGGCAATAATCAGAACATAATGAGTCTGGGCAAAGGTTTATGGGAAATGTAGTTCATGTTGGAATGGCAAAGGACTAGCGAGGAGTGTTCTCTGGTGGAAATCAAGGCCACTCTAGCTGTTGGATGTAACAGACAAGAATGAAATTTAAATATTGCTCATTTTATTTAGATATTTTTAAGTGATAATTAAATAACCATATTAGTGTATATTTAAAGGGTTAGTTCACTTCAGAATTAAAATTTCCTGATAATTTACTCACCCTCACGTCATCCAAAATATTCATGTCTTTCTTTCTTCAGTCGGAAAAAAAATTAAGGTGTTTGCGTCTTGCACTAGCTGTGTTGCGCCACACATTACATAATCATTTTGAAAGGTCACGCATGACATAGAAAGACGAACACACACACACACACACACACACATATACACTATATTTATATAATTTATTTATTTATTTATTTATTTTTATATTTTTTTAAATAAAATAAATAAGTCATTTTATTTGTTAACCATGTTATCTAATGTTAACAAGTGAAACCTTATTGTAAAGTGTTACCAATACTATTAAAGCAGACTTTGAGAAACATTTACATTCGCAATAAATGTATGCAAAGCCTATTAATCAATAGTCCACCCTTTTGGTCGGACTATTTTTGGACTGAATAGCATAAGCAGAAAATCTCTTTTTGACACTTCACCTCAGGAAATTAATGGAGTTTCATCACCCATGTCGGCTCCCATGTAGAAAAACATCTGCCTAGCGAGCTGTCTAATAGACAATCCCTCTGGAGAAACAGCAGAATCATGAGTGCCACAGTGTTCACCCTAGTTCAGCAGGAACGGATGGGGTGTTGACCTTTTTCAGCAGAGAACATCTAATAAGGTGCTTGTTTCTCAGCAGCCATGTGCTAAAACTGTACACTTGAGCGAAAAAAAATAATAATAATATATATATATATATATTGGGTATTGCTTCATCAAAATAAATCTGCTTTGGATTATTGTACATACAGTATGTGAAAATGTAACATCTGATTCGTTGAAAACAGGTAATAAACCCATTTCCCTACCAGTCAATTAATACTCTAACATGTTATTTAAAATTTGTAGGCGCAACATTACTTATAGTCAACAGAATGTGTTAAAGGTGCTATATGTATTTTTTTAGCGGCCTTTATCTGTGATGTTTTAGTTTGCAACCAATTTTTTAAAAGAGAGCTTGTGCTCTTGCGCGAGCTCGAACACAAGAGCGAGCACTCATGGTACACGGCCACACTGAGACTTTCAACACACCGGAGAAATAAGCATCACAACACATGCTGGAAACTCATGTAAACGCCCACTACAACGTTACAATAATAGGCTATTATCAGCTTGACGTTAAACTAATGCTCCATGTACCATGATAACGTTACAGTGACTGTGTTTAGCCAAACTATTCATGTATCTTTCACAATCAGGCAGCAATGTCAACGATCAATGTATAATATGATAACGAAAATGGTTAGTGAATTAGACTAAACTATTTCAGTGTAACAGTAAGAATCGTAAGAAGTAACATTCCTGTACTGAACGTGTCTGGAAATGTGCGTAAACAACATGATAGTAGTGGGATGAGTGATGTTAGACAGTAGATCTAGTATACATAAAATTAAAGTTACATCCTAAAGCACCTACTTTTTGTTATCCTGGAACAGTCTTTTGTGTTCATTTCATGTTTCATGTATGTTGTACAAAGTTTACCTTGCTATTTCATTGCAGTTTACCATTATTTATTTCAGCAGATCTGAAAACTTGTAATGTATCACAATAAAAATAGCGGAGGTCTCTCCATAATTCAAACGCCGATGTTGATCCATGTTTTCGTCCTAAGTGGATCTGAATCACGGCCTGACGAGCTTCAGCAGATACATTTTTGTCTTGTTTGTTTTTTATATTTATGTGGAGTTTGTTTTGTGCTGAGGCAGGCCGTTTTTTGGTGTTATCGACGCGCATAGACTGTATATAAAAAGGAGAGAGGCTCAGGGGTGCGCATGCACGTCACATCCGATGGCTTTCGCAGAAAATCCTACACGGAGACTTCACATAGAAATAGGAATACTGGCTTTTAGAGGTAATATCAAAAACCGACAAGTGGGTCATTGTAATGTGTGATTACAGCCCCTTCACACACAAGCAATAAAAAAGCATTCATTTTAGAAGAAAAGTTACATAAAGCACCTTTAAAGAGACCATAAAAATACAATTAAATCCAATCTTTTATTTGAAAGACATGGCAACGAGACTCATAAGCTTTCAGGAGGCCACATGTGTGCTGAATCCATTGTTTTTTTTTTTTTATCTCAGAGTATCTTTGAGTGTAAAGCGGTTGATACTTTTTATATTGTGTTCTTTTGGCACATTGTTAATATAAAGCTTCTCCTCTCTGTTATCTTCAGCAATGAAAGATTTTAAGGTGACAGTGAGGCGCACAGAGGCTTCTGAGAGATGCAGCCTGAAAGGAGTAGTGCTTCTACGGACTGATTCTGACAGCCTTCTTCTGAAAGAACCTAAGACAGGAGAGGTTCTCTACGCCTGGCCCTACCGTTTCCTCCGCAGGTTCGGACGAGATAAGGTATGGCTTGCACAGTGACTTGCAGTCAGTCGATTAATGATAGTAAGGCAAGCAGTGTGTGTGATCTCTGTGTCCAGTATAGTGATGACACTGTAAAAAGACACTGACCTTTATGGTGCTTTTCCATTACCAGTACCAGCTCGACTCGACTCGGCTTGACTCGCTCTGTTTTCCATTGCAGAAAGTACCGCCACAAATAGTACCCGGTCATCATAGCGACGCCTTTCGTTCCTTGTCGCCCTATCAAGCTCTCGCTGGATGCTCTCTTCAGCAACCAAACAAAGTAAAGTCAGCACCTCCTCGTTTGACCACAGCGTATTCTTCCGAGTTGCCATAATAATAGTAACAAGTTTACTAACTATCTCTGGCAAAACTATTTAAAAATGGCGGGGTGTACTCCATCTGGCGCGTCTAATGATGACACAGTGAATGGTGACAATTCTCTCTGACCAATCAGCAGTCGGCATTGTTTTCACGTGACATTTTAGTATCGCCTTAGCTCGCTCAGAACCACACCGGAGGTGATTTAAAAAAAAAAAAGTATCTGAAAGCAGGTAAAGGTACAACTTTTACACAGTGGAAAACCAAACAAAGGCGAGGCAGAGTCGAGTCGAGCTTGTACTGTGTAGTGGAAAAGCGGCATTAGAGAAGATGATAAAGTGATGTCCACACACATGAGAAAAACAAAATCCTAGGGTGTTTCTTGAAAATAATTTTCTCCCAAAAACAAGAATGGAAAGCCATGAAACTGTAAGAATGGAAATCCATGGAATGGAAAGCCATGAAACTGAATCATGCATTTCCTTTGGGAATTAAATTCTAAAAAACATGAATTTCAACTTAAATAACATTAAACTGACTAAAAAAAGTAGGTGAAAAAAAGTTTGTCTCGAATAATTAAAAAATAAGGCTTGAATTAATTTGATTTGAAAGTAATAAAAAACACATGTTGTTATGACGCATTGACCATGTCATTTTTTGCAGTGTAAATTTACTACTAATTTGATTTCTAATTACATAAACAGGCAACATTCTCCTTTGAGGCTGGGCGAAGATGCGACTCTGGGGAAGGCAACTTTGAGTTCGACACAAAACAAGGCAACACCATCTTCCAATCCGTAGAGGCCGCCATCAATCTACACAGAGTCCATTTGCCTGTGAAGCAGATAGCAAGTGTGGAGCGAGATCCCATGCCCTCTTCGCCCCGAATGAGAGCTGAAGAGACTTCTGTCTACAGTATGGTGACTGAGGGAGCAATCAGAGACAGTCTCAAACAACCCCAGAACCCTCAGCTTTCCAGACTTGAAGCCCCTACAGAGAAGCTTCTGACAGGAGTCAAGAGTCTGAACCTGGACACCAGGCCTCCGCCACGTAAGAACCAAGTCAAGAACTTCCGCAGCTGTCCCTTGGTCAACACAGAGGATGAGATGTATTCCCGGGCCATGGCGCCGGATCCAGATCGGGGAAGTCCAGGGGAGAAGAGAGAACCAAAAGACAGACGTTCCACATGCTCCAACCCCGAGGACTCAGACTACTCGCTGCCCTTTGACACCATTGCCAAGAATGTGATGGTAGACATTTTGTCCGCATCAAACCCTCCACCCACTTTAGTAGAACCCAGTTGTGAAAATGACAAGAAAGGCAACATAGAGAACACAGAACCGCTTTATGACATTATAGATGAAACTGCTATCAGAACCCGTTTCGCAAACAAAAAAACGAAATCGTACAAAATCGAGCACATCTATGATGAACCGGAAGGATGCGGTGTGGCCCCAAGTGGGTCTCCATCGCTCTATGATGAGCCGGAGGAGGTCAAAGGTCACGCTTGGAAGATGTTGGGCACAGTAATGGATCCGACTGGTCACGAGTACCCGTACAACGCATCTGTCGATGACTACGCAGTTCCTGTAGCTCCCAGAAGAGCCTTGCTGTCAAAGCAAAAGGACAGTGAGGAAGAAGACTGTTCACCATATGATAACATCATGGTGAAAGTAACGCAAAAAAAATAACTAAGAACTGCTTCAGTAACTTATATATGAGAACCATAATGATTGGTGATGCTCAGCTATGTGGCATCACCACTACAGAGGACAATGAAGAATGAATGAATGAATTAAATATTTAATCAATTAATATGCAGAATGGAAATAGTTATCAGAGTGCTTTACTGTTCTTAAAAAAGCTTTGATCCATGGAAGCTTGTTTTCATCGGAGGGAAAATAAAATAAGTAATTGTAACAATTCAAACTTTTGGGGGGGGGATTTGCAATTTTGACTATTTATCGATCTTCGAGTTTTATAACTCACAATTCTGACTTTTTTATTGAATTGTGTGATATAAACTCTGAGAATTTCGAGTTTATATCTCGCAATTCGCACTTTGTAACTCGCAATTTCAAGTTTATATCTTTCTGAAAAAAATGCAAGATATAAATTCTTTACTTATTATATCACATTCCGAGTTTATAACACAATTTTGACTTTTTTCCTAGAATTGTGAAAAATTAACTAAATTCAGAAAAATCAATTCAGAGAAAAGGTCAGAAATTTGCAATTGTCAGAATTGTGAATTGATATCTCACAATCCATACTTTATAGCTCGCAATTTTATATATTTTTCAACTCAGAATTGCAGAATTGTGAGACAAAAAGTCGCAATTACCTCCAGAGCAAATTACCTGAATCTTATGCGTTAATCACCCACAAACCAGTTTAACAAATAACTTTGGCAGTCTCAGGAATGTTTTTGGTCATTCTGATGATCACAGACACACTCCTTTTATATAAATTAAGCTCATAGCATTTTACATATATTCGGATGAGCCCACTTTTGGATTTATAACACATAACACAGACTTACCAGAAGCAAAATTAGTTAAGAGGGTTGCGCAATGAATATTCATTTTTTTAGTGCAAACATATATATATATATATATATATATAGACTGTAGGCCTATTCAGATGAGCACCCGCAATCCATTTTAAGTGAATATTACTTTATGCAAACATGTCTCCTTACTATGCAAATTTGGCTCATAGATAACGTTTTATTCGCACAACTTTTGCATTTTAAGGAGCCAACGCGGATGTCTGAATCCGCACAAAAAAGTATATCAGATTTTGATAGTCTGATGTACTGTATCCTCCACAACCTAGCACTTAGAACCAACCAGCAAGATTGGAATTTATGCTAAGCATTTGTATTCACCACAAATTCTGTGGCGTGTTGGCACTACTTGCACAAGCGCGCAGTGCATTCCTCATGAATTCCTCTCTAAGTGTCCAAGTAGCAACCATATCTACTGTGACCTTCACTATCTACAGTACAAAGGAGTAGTTGATCTTATCCGGTTGTAAATCAAAGAGTAATTTAGCTTCGATTGAACATGTGGCTCTAATAGCCCTGCTTCTCTTTCCTTGTTTTTTGTTCTCATTTCAACTGGATTGATGGGAGTTCACACAGGTAATTAAAGTTCTGCAGATCTCTTACAAAATGACGCCCATTACTTAATCCTCTGCCCGCTAATGATGGACAAGGGAGTTCCACAGTGTCAAGGTTTTATTAAGGCCAGACTCTGACTTTTCCTCTCACAGGCTTTTTATTTTGAGGAGCACATGAATAATAATAACTTGACTTGCAGAGGGAAACTGGGGCACTGTTAGGATGCTGCTAGGCTCCCTGCTTGTCACGGTTCATGAGTCCCACTGTGTCTGGAGACTTTTAAAAGTCGGAAAACACTTTACAGGTTTTTCAATTCAGTTTCTGTTCCTTGTTTCAGAGCACTCCAGAAATATGAACTGTGTCACATGTGATATGAATGTTTTTTTCATGTATTTTACTGTACATTTTAAATGCACACAGCATATCGTTGTAATTAGTTCAGATGTCAATTTAAAGAAGAATTTCACTTTTTTTTAAAAAAAAACTTTTGCTGGTAATTTACTCACCCCTTGTCATCCAAGATGTCCACGTCTTTCTTTCTTCAGTCGAAAAGAAATTCAGATTTTTGATGAAAACATACCAGGATTTTCTCCATATCATGGACTTCATTGGAAATCAAACGGTTCAAGGTCCAAATGAGAGATTCAGTGCAGCTTCAAAGGGCTTTAAACGACACCAGACAATGAATAAGGGTCTTATCTAGCACCCTTCGAGTCATGACCCGAAAAAAGATTTGTTCATTTTGATGAACAGGAGAGTCACGAACGCTCATGACAGATCAGAGCAAGGCGAGCATTTGTATTTATAAAACTTAAACTTTTTTATTTATTTTTTAAATGACCAATCGTTTCGCTAGACAAGACCCTTATTCATCGTCTGGTGTCGTTTAAACCCCTTTTGAAGCTGCACTGAAACTCTCATTTGGACCTTGAACCGTTTGGTTCCCATTGAAGTCCATTATATGGAGAAAATCCTGGTTAAACCCTTAATTTCTTTTCGAGACATGGACATCTTGGATGACATGGGGGTGAGTAAATTATCAGCAAGAGTTTTTTAAAAGTGAACTACTCCTTTAAAGCTTTTTTTTTTTTCCACTATCAGACTGCAGAGGACAGTAGACTAGGCAGAATGTGGCGGGACTCTGCTACTGGAGCAGTGCAAATGAATAAAGCAGTGCATACAGTACACACACTGATGCTTATTCCAGAATTTGGAGTCTGGTGTGAGATGAGCTCTTCGCTGAAATACGGAAAAAGATGAAAGCTTTGCTGAGCACCGACTCTTGGCCTAGTTCCTTGTTGTGTAAGATAGTTTGTTGAACACCAGGGGGCACTGTTTCTCCTCAATAGGGGACCTCTACAAAACAGTTGGAGTCATGGTGTGCATAATTTGTGAGAGAGTCAAAAGCTTCAGGATTGTTGATATATATATATAAAATAATAATAATAATAATAATAATAATAAAAACTCTTACTGTTGAACAGAAATCGACTTGATGTATTTAATGGTATGTCTCAATTTATTAATGTGGAAAAAATCAACTCAAATGTAACCGAAATGTACTCAGTGCTCCCTTACTCATTAAATAAGAGCACACCATGCTTATTTTAGGTGGAGATCATGAGCCACATGTCAAGTTATTTTTCACACCCACAATTCCTTTGCAACAGACTTGACAGCAAGTCAATGTGAGTGTGATGTTGAAGCTCTGAAAACAGATATTTCAAATATTGGTTGTTTCAGATGTAAACTGCAAAAGACCGTCCCCATCTGCCGTGACTACAATGAAAGTGTCTGAGATCTACCTGTTAGGATTCCAGTTTATATATATATATAACAGTTGAGGTACTGAGTTTACAGTCCTGCTCAATCATTTTTGTGCCCTTGAGCAAAACACTTGACCCCAGGTTATCCCATGGGTAATGTTCTCACAATTAGTGCACTGTAAGCCACTTACAGCACTTAAGAAAGCATCTGCTAAAATGGCAACTATCTATCTAGAATAATAAACTGCTTCCCATTTGCAAATATTAGCTTGTTTTTTCAATGGAAGTACAAACTCTTGGTATAATTAGACATATAACATATTTAGTACATGTATTTGAAGAGCGAGAAGCGTGCCTTACAATGCTGATAACCCCACTTTAAAGCAATTGTGTCTGATCAATAAATACATGAGAATGTGCAGCGTTGAATGGCTTGGAGTGGTTAATTGGCTCCAGTGGATCCAATTTACCAGTAGCACTTTCTAATAAGCAACTAGAATGGACCACACTTAACAGCCATTCCATATCCAGGAACGACGCCTTTTAAATTTCAATTCATCACCTTTCACTAATGACAATATAAAGATTATTTTGAGGTCTGTGGCGTTTTTGGTTGTCATGACCCTCTGCGCTTTTATTTGCACTTGAACGATTTTTATTCTTTTTCATGAACGAAATGAGTGAAGAAGGCTTTGTTTTTTATTTCACTCACTGCACCTTCATATCAATGTTGCTCTGATATTTCAAACTGACTCTCGCATCGGCTGGTTCAGTGACATCGGAAAATGGAAAGAATTTCTTTTCCAACACCATGGCGCAACGCAGTGCTGTTCTGACAGCTTAATGTATGGCATTTAAAGCCATTTCACCAAATGACTTCTACTCTCTGCTCTGCGTGTCAAGCAGGATGACAGCAAAGTAGGGGTCACTGTCACTTAAAAGATGTATTGGACGTATTTGCATAAAAAGTACTGAGTGTTAGAAACGTCCTGAGAAGATGCTGGGATTACATTTTTTTTTTATTTCTCCAAATGACTAGTTGTAGTATTGCAATACCTGGCTCACAGTTAAGACATCAAGATCTAAGTGAATAACAGTTTGAAACTGGACACCAGCCAATGGTAGACAATTTTAATCTGTGCAATCTTTGAATCTATTATGCCTAAATGGTGATTAAAGGTGCAAAACGCAAGTATCTGAGTTTTTGCAAAACTACGCCCCCTCTGACGACAAGCAAAACTGCAACCAGAGGTGTGCGTGCTCATGGAACACACACACATGCACGTTTGCACGATCTGTTCATAACCAAAGGAGCATCAGTCACGTCCAGTCTCAAATTCGAGTCTGAATCCCTCTTATTTGTTTTACTGTACAGGATTATAGAGGCGATCGCAGTGATCAGAGAAGGGCTCATTCAGCCCATCAGGCGATTGTTTAAGCATGTATGGGTTATAAAAACGGCTATTTTTAACATGAAATGTTGCGTAATGCACCTTTAAAGTTATAACAGCCTACATTTGCAAGTAACTTTTCACCTCTTGAGCTCAGTTGGAAAGGCGTTATATGGTTAAAATCCTATGTTCTCATGTAACACACAGTGTTTATAGAGTCTAATGGTGAGGTCACAGAAAGGGAACGCTCTGTCCTCATGGAACGGATGCTGCCAATCCAATCAGCTTTATTTAAATAAACATACTGAACAAGACTACATTTGCAATATCTGCCCACCTGATTAACTGCTGTGCAGAGGTGAATAGCATCAAATAAACAAAGAGTGCAGACCTACATGAATTCATGAGTTCACACTTACATATAATTATAAAATATGTGCATTAGGCGTGCTGTCTGAGGGGATGCCTCCAAATTCAGAATTTGGCACAAAAGCAGAGCTGGGATAGGAATAATTGAGAGTTGGGCTGGAGGAGAGATACAGTACTGAAAAAACTGTTGTGGAACAGAGGTAAAAATCATCATTAAAGAAGAAAATTCCAAATGGCATTTAGAGGCTTTTGCATCTGAACTCTTCATATATATATATATATATATATATATACGTATATATATATATATATTAGTGAATGACGCCCTGGTTCAATAAAGACCCGGGAGTGTTAATATTAAGGGTTAATATAGGTTCAGCATTCATCTTGTTGTTGGGCTGTGTAATTGACTATTTTCCTCAAATTTATTTTTCCGAAACTTTAAAGGGTTACTCCACTCAAAAACTGAAAATTCTGTCATCATTTACTCACCCTCAAGTTGTTGCAACCCTCTATGAGTTTCTTTCTTCTGCTGAACACAAATGAAGATATTTTGAAGAACAATTGGAACCAAACAGTTGTTTGGCACCATTGACTTCCATAGTAGAAAAAAAAATACAATGAAAGTCAATGGTGTCAAAGTTCCAATCGTTCTTCAAAAATATCTTCCTTTGTGTTCAGCAGAAGAAAGAAACTTATATAGGGTTGCAACAACTTGAGTGTGAGTAAAGGCTGACAGAATTTTCATTTTTGGGTGGAGTATCCTTTTAAGACAACCAACAAGTATATGATCAAATCAAAACCAATGACATTCATGTCCATTTAATTATTTATTTATTTGGTAAATAGCTATCTAATAAGCGGAATAATTTTCAGCCAGTCGGTCACAATCACAAAATAAACCAAAAGCTGCTTCACATTGGGGTCCTGATCACCCTGTTTAAGCTAGCTGTAAATCATACCTCTACTTTTCATAACTAATGGAAAATGCATTACAACATAAGCTATAAAAGATTGGTAATGGATGTCCTGATGCTTTTCAAAGATCTTCCTATGAGATTCTACAGAGAGCAAGGTTTTAATGACCACCAGTTGGTTTTCTCAATATAAACAAAATTGTGTAAAAAGCCTGATGTCAAAATCTTAATCTGATGTCAGTTTTTATTTGAATGAGATTTACAGCCCATATCATTTCAAGTATCAACTATTTAGAAACTGTATTAATACAAAATCTGCCATTTGTGAATACAACTTCACAGTAGATAAAAAATATGCATAGTTGTATGCATAAAGTCCCATGCCTTATAGAGGGGCAAAGAGGGTTTCTGTGTGAATGTCGACCGTAAGAGGGCCACTGACCCACGCTGCCAACTCCCCCAATCCTTACACAACACGCCAGCACGACTCAAAACACATTACCGCTCACTCACATATGAACATGCACTAGCATTAACTTCTGTGGCCAGCGGCATTGTGAGAGTTCAGCAGACTGACAGGTCAACACCGATTGCCACTGGCTGTGTGACACAAAAAGAGAGGGAAAAGCATAG